TTTAGAAGGGCACTGCTGTAGTTACTATATAGCAGCTGTGACAATCAACAGAAATTATCCAGTCTGTCCAATCCTGTTCCTATAACTAGAAGAAATTACTGTGATTAAAAGGAGAAGAATGGTAGTTGCCTTTTTGTGTGCTTCTCATTGTGTATTTATAGTTGTTAGGAAGGCAAGTTGTATAAAGCCTTCCAAGTTTGATTCATACTGGATTCATGAAGTTTCCTATCAGCTATCATTCTGCTGTATTTATATTCATTTGGGTTCTCTTCAGTGTGTGCATTCATCAACCAAAAAAATGCTAGAAGCGAAATTCAGTTCAAACCAGGCAAGTTTTGTGAAGTTCTAAGAGCCTGTGATTCTGCGTCTTGGTGCCACAAGCAGAGTGGGATGGTAGCCACCTCAGAAAATTCTCTTTTGTAGGTTGAAGTTATGGAATGAAAGATTGAGAGGCTTAAAAATTCTGCAAATGCAAAACTGTGTTGGAGGATATATGAAGAAGAGAAAGATGGAAAGATTCAAAGAGAGATTGGGTGTTTATATAGATAACAAGAATATACAGTTATAACAGTTAATGCAAACAAAGTTTTGGAAGGGGATAAAAAGTCTCATGCTTCAGCATTTAAACCAGTCTCTATTATGGGTTAGGAAGAAACCTTCCAGGAGTAAATTATCCCACACATGTCTACTGTGACATTCTTGCATCTTCCTCTGAGTCATCTGTTGCTAGCCAGTTTTGAAGACAGGATGCTAGCTTAGATGGACTTCAGGTCTGATACAGTCTGGCTATCCCTATGTTCCTTTGTAGAAGGCAACTGATGTTGGTGGAACTTGAGAAGATCAAGTGCATTTATATGTATTACATCAATTTGCCTTTGATTTGACATGTCCTCCAATGTACTACGTACATGTATTGCCACAAGAAGGGGGATTTCGGCAAACGTATAGATGCTATGATTTCCACAGCAGCCACAACTTGGGCCAGAAATTCTAAGGATGCAAACACTTGGAAATGCATGGAAGCCATTCATGTGTGGTGTAGAGGTATTACTTGACTAGCTGCAGTGTGAGATGAGAACTGTCTGATTACTGTAGACAGCATAATATGGCAAGGAGGTCAAGGTATAGCGCAGGACAATGTACAAGAGAGAGGGTCATCCCTGATTAATGCTGCCATGGTGGATTGTGGGGGAGTATCCACAACACACAAAAAAGGATGTAGCTACCTGTCATCTTTACTCATCCTGGTGTTGTTACTACATGTAGAAATGGGATTTGAAAAGTAAACGTGCTCACTATATCCAACTTTTAAACAAAATTTAGAAATATTTTTAATGATACATTTTAGTTTATAGATTTCTAAGTAATTTTACTTTATTTTTTCAGAGAGCCCCCTGGTTTAAGAACTTTATATCTGATAGTGTAGGACCTGGTTACTATGTCAATGAATTCAGAAGCATCTTATCTACTGCAATCCCTGGCTCTACTCTCTCTAATGTGTTGTTTCTTTAGACAAAATTAGTTGTTTTTTTTTAAATTGCATAGTGTTTTGATTGAATCTTTCCTTATGTGAAAGGTCTGCTAATCCCTTGGTAATTAACACTTTCATAGGTCAATCAAGTTTAGAGGAATGTGCTTATTTTTTTAAAAAATGGTCTTTAAGAAAAGATCCCAGAGATTTAATGAAAAAGAATTATGCACATCACATTCTACCTGTCAATGATCTTGATGGTAAAACTTGAATTTTAAATTTTCTCCCCATTGTTGGGATTCTAAGGAATGGCAATGATTGTTAGAAATTGTTCTACAACATTTACAGAAACTCTCAACTACAGATTACAGTATTTGTGGAGCCATTTTATTTACGGTGCAAGTAGTAAGCAGCTTGTAACAGAAATAATATACAGTTCAGTACATTTTTCTCATTTTTGCTTTAACTCAAATGCACTAGTACATTAAAATATAACTTTACAGTTGTTTTCATTTCAGTTAATCTCCTACAAAGGTATTGTCTCATGGATACCAATTATGTGCATTTCTTGCATTATTGTTTAAATCTTTGTGTCCAGGTACAATAACTGCAGATGATAACTTGTAATGTTGCAATAGTGGTACAGAATCATGAGGCCATTAATAATCATAGAATCATAGGGTTAGAAGGGACTACAAGGGTCATCTAGTCTAACTCCCTGCCAAGATTCAGTAAAGATGCTTCCACAACCTCCTGAGGCATCTGTTCCATTGTCCTACTGTTCCTACAGTTAGGAAGTTTTTCCTGAGTTTTAATCTAAGTCTGCTATGCTGTAGTTTGAACCCATTGCCCCTTGTCCTGCCCTCTCTGGCAAGAGAGAACAACTTTTCTCCATCTTTTTTATGTCAGCCTTTCAAGTATCTGAAGACTGCTATCATATCCCCTCTTAATCTCCTCTTTTTGAAACTAAACATGCCCAGTTCCTTCAGCCTTTGCTCGTATGGCTTGCATTCCATCCCTTTGATCATCTTTGTCACTCACCTCTGGATCCTTTCCAGTTTCTCTACATCCTTTCTATACATTGGTGACCAAAATTGGACACAATACACCAGCTGAGGCCTAACAAGCACCTGTGACTTACATGTTATACCTCTGTTAATGCAACCTAAAATTGCATTTGCTTTTTTTGCAACAGCATCACATCGCTGATTCTTGTTGAGGTTATGATCCACCACAACTCCCAGATCCTTCTCAGCAGTACTGCTGCCAAGCCAGTTTTCCTCTAATCTGTATTTGTGCATTTGGTTTTTCTTCCCTAAGTGTAGCACCTTAAATTTGTCTTTGTTGAATTTCATTTTGTTGTCTATAGCCCTGTTCTCCAATCTATCAAGATCCCTAAATTTTAGCTCTATCCTCCAGAGTATTTGCAACCCCCACTCCCAGCTTTGTGTCATCTGAAAACTTGATCAGTCTGCTCGCTATACCTACATCCAGGTAATTAATAAAGATGTTAAACAACACTGGACCCAGAACAGATCCCTGAGGAACCCCACTTTAGACCTCCCTCCAGTCCATTAATAGTTACTCTTTGTTTGTGATTGTTTAACCAGTTATGTATCCACTTAATGGTAGTTGTGTTGAGCCCACATTTCTCCAGCTTACTTAATAGAATGGTATGTGGGAATGTGTCAGAAGGCTTGCTGAAATCCAGGTATATTATGTCCACCTCATTTCCCCTATCCACCAAATCTGTTACTCTGTCAAAAAAGGAAATCAAACTGGTTTGGCATGACTGGAACTTCTTGGTCAATCCATGTTGGCTGATAGTGATTACCCCTTCATCATCCAGGTACTCGCAAATTGAATGTTTTATACATTGCTCTAGTAGCTTCTCAGATATTGAAGACAGGCTGACTGGTCTATAGTTCCCCAGTTCCACATTTCCCCCCTTTTTGAAGATGGACACTACATTAGCCCTTCTCCAGTCTTCCTGGATCTCTCCTGTCATCCATGAGTTTGTAAATATTATTTCCAGTAGCTAATTCCTTCAGTACCCTCGGGTGAATAGCATCTGGTCCCGCTGAATTGAATTCATTCAAATTGGTCAGAAGATCTCTGATGTGTTCTTTACTTCTCCCGATCTGCATCCCTTCCCCTTTATTGTCTGTGGTAACTTTGCTAGTCATCTGGTCAGATGAGAAGACTGAAGCAAAGTAGGGATTGAATAGCTCTGCTCTCCTATCATCTTCCATTACCAGCTCACCACCTCCATTGAGCAGTGGACTCACACCATTCTTGATCTTTCTTTTTTGTCTGACATATTTGAAGAACCCCTTCCTGTTGTCTCTACCATTTTTTGCCAGCTGTAACTCATTCTTTGCCTTGGCTTTCCTGATTTTGTTCCCTACACGCTCGTGCTATTCCAATGTATAGTTCCTTGGTGACATGCCCCTCCTTCCATTTCCTGTATGTATCCCTTTTTAGTTTTTAGATATCTAAAAAGCTCTTTGTGCAGCCACATTGGCCTCCTGTGGCTCTTCTTATCTTTACTATGCATCGCAGTAGCTTGATGTTGAGTCTCTAGTATTACATCTTTTAAGAACTTCCAGTCCCCTTCGACTCCTTTCCTTCCTAACTGGTCTTTCCATGGGACCTTGCCTACTATTTCTCTGAGTCAGTTGAAATCACATTTCTGAAGTCCAGCGTCCTTGTTTTACTGTTCTCATGTCCTCCTTTTCATAGGATCTTGAATTCAATCTGATCATGATCACTTCCTCCCAAGTTCCCGACCACCTTCACTTTTGCAACTAATTCATCCCCATTGATCAAAACCAGATCCAAAATGGATGACCTGCTGGGTGTTTCCTCAACTTTCTGAATCACAAATCTGTCCCGTATGCATGCTAAGAATTTGCAGGATGTATTACGTTTTGCTGCAATAGTGTTCTAACAGATATCAGGGAAGTTAAAATCCACTATTAATACTAGCTCATGTGTGTTAACTAATCTTGTTACCTGCTTGTAGATAGAATGACTCATTCACTTCCTCTTCCTGATTTGGTGGTCTATAATAGACCCCCCACCATAACATTGCTACTATTCTTTTCCCTTATTATCCTCATCCAGAGTCTCAGTACGTCTGTCACTCCGTTCCCGTTGGACCTCAGAGCAAGTGTATACATTCTTGATGTAAAGCACAACACCTCTGTTTTTCCCATAGCTATCCTTTCGGAACATGCGATATCCCTCAATGCTGGTACTCCTATCATGGCAGTTGTCCCACCAAGTCGCTGTGATGCCAATTAAGTCATAATTTTCTTCATATAGCATGACTTCCAGTTCATCCTGCTTGTTCCCCATACTCCCTGAATTTGTATACAGGTATTGAAGATATTTGCCAGACTGCCCTGTTGCTTTTTTTTCTTTTTAATGCAGTTGCGATTTCTAGACCCTTCTCCAGAAATTAGCCCCTTTCCCAATCATTACCCACATTAGGAGTAAAGTGAATTTTTTTTTCTTTTTTTTGCAGATGTCATTCATACTGTGGGACCAATAGCAAGAGGCCATATCAGTGATACTCATAAAGAAGACCTGGCAAGTTGTTATAAATCATCCCTGAAACTGGCAAAAGAAAACAATATCAGATCAATTGTAAGTACTTCATAAAGATGTATTATTTCTTTATGTGGGGTATTTTTCCTCAGGTTTTAGCAGCATTATAGGAATAATAAAAATCTTTAAGATCATGCATGTCATATGTGGTATTCAAGAACAAGAAATTGAGAGTTGTTAATGCAGCACGACTGGAAGAGAAAGGAATAAGGATAGCCTGGGGGTGGCACAAAAGCTGGGCTGGTAAAGCAGTTGTATCTAACACACTACTGTTCCACTAAGAACTGACAGGAAGAGAACGGCTCCAATGGTTAATTTTACATGTTATGATCCTCCTAAAAAACGTAGCAGGAGGCCGTTGGTCAAATAGTCGACTCTGTAGAATATAACCTCAGTAATTACGGAGGGGGAGATGATTGTGGTCTAGTGACTTATTCTTTAAATTAAAATTTTTCTTAAAAATAGAGATGAAAAGAGATGGTCAAATAACATAATTTATAACATCACCCCACCAGAATCCATCACCATAAATGTATAATTTATGATCTGTAAAAGAATTGTTTTATTATGTTTCATTTAATAAGCATGGTTCCTTGATCTTACGAAATACATCTCATGCTTTGTATTTCAAAGGGCCAGATTTTCAAAGTTAGAAGGGTGCATTTATATGCATATGTTTGGATGTGCCTATCATATTTGCATATATTTGATGAGTTTGCATACTCAGGCATTTGTGTGCGCTAGTTACAGTCTTCAATAGCTAAGGGCACGTCTTCACTACCCGCCGGATCGGCGGGTAGCAATCGATCTATTGGGGATCGACTTATCGCGTCTAGTGAAGACGCGATAAAATCGATCCCCGATGGCTCTGCCGTCGACTCCAGAAATCCACCGCGGCAAGAGGCGGAAGCGGAGTCGACGGCGGCGCGGCAGCGGTCGACGCGCCGCCGTCCTCACAGACAGGTAAGTCGACCTATAATACGCAACTTCAGCTACGCTATTCATGTAGCTGAAGTTGCGTATCTTAGGTCGACCCCCCCCCCCCCCCGCCCGTAGTGTAGACCTAGCCTTAGTGTGCATAGACTACATTTATGTGCATACATCAGGTATGCACATGCGTAAGTGAGACGTGCAAATGTATATGCACAACTGTGCAAGCTTTACTTGGAAAATGTACCCACCAATTATATCGGTTAGGTAAATATGTCTAAATGGAGGTTAGTATTTCTAATGTGTGAACTTAGGAAATTCTCAGTCGTATATTGGCCAGATTCTCAGCTGATGGAAATCATAACTCTACTGAAGTCATTAGCTGTGACTGGCCTTTATCTGTCTTTATTTTTAATCCTGCTCCAGTTGCTGAAGCTCATTTTACATCTTAACTAAACGATTTAGTACTTGAATGGAGGCTCTAAAAATACATTTCTGATTGAATAAACAACAAGAAAGTGAGATTATTAAAACAGGAGTTGGGGAGACAAGGGGTAGATATCATAGTCTGGAGAAAGTCAGATCGAAGTTAATCAAAATGATGTAAAGAAGGAAGAAAATATTGTTCCATTAACTGTTTCAGATAAAACAGTATATTGACTTCGTAAAACTATTTGTAACAAGTAAGCAGCTGAAATCTAGTCTGGTTTGAAAATATCCTTGGTGATCAATGCCAGCTGTTCCTAAATTTCTGTTAATGTCTTCTGATTTTAAAATAAAACCAACATTTATTTAAGAAATTTTGATGAGGACTGTTCCTCATGGAGTAGAATTTTAGAAAGATTTAAAAATATTCTCATGTTAAATTTGAATTTACTGTAGATATTTCATTTTTGAATTGTAAGTGTAGTATTCAGTTTCTTTTTGCAATGATCAAATTTCATCCAAAAAGGGAAGTGGATTGACACAATGTTTAGTGTGACATGGGCAATGTGGCTGTAATAATTGCATGGCAACATCCCGGCATTGTGCTGTTTATATCCCGTTACACAAATATACTTTATACCCAGTCTACTTGGGCAAAGAAGGTGTTTTTCAATCAGGTTAGATCAATTAAGTTACCTCAGTTCAGTTGAACCTTCAAGTCTGCATAAAACCTGTGTAGACGTAGTATGACATCTTTAGATAGTTTGAGCTGATTATGTTGTAGCCTAGGCTTCAAATTAAGATACACCAACTCAATCTAAAATATGTGAATCTGTGTTTAGACAAGTGTCCATGAGGTAGATGGGGGTTAAGGTGAATTAAGCTAATACAATTGAGTTAACTCAGTTGTCAAATGTACCTTTTTTGCCCAGGTAGTCATGCTCTCTGGAGCTGCAGCAGGCAAAATACTACCCACTGATTCTTTTCTGGATACAGAGCTATGCTGCTGTGCATGTTGGCTTGTTTTAATTCCTAATGGAGTCCTTTTCATACGTTACAACATTCCATCAGATGAATCCAACTTTGGCTTTATATAGCCAGTCACTAAAGAGATAAATGACAACCAGTTAGGTTGGGTTCCTTTATTTAAACTTCATGTTTGTTTAGTTTTGGAAAAGAGACGACTGAGAGGGGACATGATAGCAGTTTTCAGGTATCTAAAAGGGTGTCATAAGGAGGAGGGAGAAAACTTGTTCACCGTAGTCTCTAAGGATAGAACAAGAAGCAATGGGCTTAAACTGCAGCAAGGGAGGTTTAGATTGGACATTAGGAAAAAGTTCCTAACTGTCAGGGTGGTTAAACACTGGAATAAATTGCCTAGGGAGGTTGTGGAATCTCCATCTCTGGAGATATTTAAGAGTAGGTTAGATAAATGTCTATCAGGGATGGTCTAGACAGTATTTGGTCCTGCCATGAGGGCAGGGGACTGGACTCGATGACCTCTCGAGGTCCCTTCCAGTCCTAGAATCTATGAATCTATATACAATAGAATTGAAATATTCTCTCTATAGTCATTTTTGCTCTTTCTATTTATTTTAAAAATCCATGAGAATGAATATTCAAAGAAAACATCCCCTTTGTTCCTTCGGTGAGGCTGGCAGTGAGGTCTTCTTTTTGCTGCAGTGGCAATGTTCCTCCTGGCTCCAGCCCCTTATTCTAGTACAGTCAGACCAGTGAGAACAGACTTGAGAATCAGATGAAACTAGTGAGATACTTTGGGTAAGAAAGGACAAAATGAAAATAGCAAAGGAGGAACTACAGGGGGCACCAGCAGTAAGCCCCCAAGCTAGGGCCAGTGTGAAAATGACTCTTTGAGTAGCTGTTGGGGGAATTGCATAAAAATTCTTGACTCTAGATGTTAATTAGGTCCTAAACATAGAATAATAATGATACTATTGAGGTATACACAGGATAGCTTTGTGTTTAGAAAGTAAAGAATATGACTGAAGGAGAAGCTATCCTGGATTTACATCTTATCACAAGGAACTGATTGTGCATGTGGGCACAATAAGGAAGTGCAGTGCTATTAACTAGTGTAACCCACACCTCCTGGCTGTGGTGTTCTGTCCCATCTAGTGGCACCGAGACCACTTAGAGAGAGTTAAATGAGTCTGCTCTACAGCCTTAGCTAAGAGCCATATGGCTTTTAGCTCATGCAATAGAGGCTCATACACTAAGTTCCAGAGGCCCCAGGTTTGATCTTGCCCACCGATGACCAGGGTCCGTCGGTGTTACAAGTGGGGGCTTGTCCGGGATTTCAACTGTGAAGTCTCTGAAGCTCAGGATGCGCTTCCTCAACTAGGGGAAGTATGTAACCCACACACCTGCTGGGACTGGTGTTCTGTCCCATCTAATGGCACAGAGACCACTTAGAGAGAGTTAAATGTGTCTGCTTTACAGCCTTAGCTAAGAGCCATATGGCTTTTAGCTCATGCAGTAGAGACTCATGCACTAAGCTCCAGAGGTTCCAGGTTTGATCCCACCTGCGGACGACTGGGGTACACTTGCACTAGATGAATCGTAAATATTTCTGTTGTCTGGCAATTTCCAAAAATTCTTTTCAGGTTGATCTAAAACCAAATTTTTCAACGTTTTCTGCTAATTGAAAAGTTGGGGAAAATTTCCAGTTGGAGCAACACAAAATGAAATTCTCTCTTTGTGGCCGCAATGACTATTCCACAGTTTTTCCCTGTTCTAGTAATAATTATAAACTACTTGAGTTAAATGGACTAAATACTGGGCTCCCAGAACACAGCAGTGCAAATGGATGTGGGGACATCTGAGATGTCCATCATGCTTACAGGCATTAAGAAGCTTAGTAAGTGTGGTAGAAGTTTTAAAATCCATGGGGAAGATCCTGAGCCAATGTAAAGGGTCACAGGTCCATTGACTTCAGGAAACCTATGACCGTTACATCAACTGAATGGAAGAAATCTGGAGCAACCAAATATATAATTCAGTAATTAAATAGCAGCAGACCACAGCTTTTTTGAAGAGAAAAATAGAAGGAGTAAGAAATAGCCAAAGGGACTTCACAAGACACAGCTTGGAAATCTGAAGGAAAAAACACTCAAATAGCTGTAGAGGAAAGGGGGAGGGGAAGCAAACAAAAAGAACTTCAGCCAGTTAAAGCTTGCAGCTGAAAAAGTACGGGCAACAATAGGACACAAGCTGAACAGAATGCTAATGGTAATTAAAGGGATGAGGGGAATCAGGACTGTCACAGATATATGTGGAGTTGGGAGAAGAGAAAGGAGGAAAAAAAGGTGCTGCATTCACAAATGAGGAAGGAGAGGAAATCTGCTTGTTTGAAATGACTGAGCTGCTTTGTAAAATTGTTCTTTAATAAAAATGATAAAGGCAATTGGGAAGTAACAAAAATGTTCAATCAGCTGTGGATTAAAAGCTAATAAAGGAATACTTGGAAATATGGTTACATACAAATAAGCCGTCTAAACGATAGGGAGTCGGGCATATTAAAGGAATTAGCTAATGAGTAGTTAGTTTTGAAAAGTCAAAGAGAAGCCAGAAGGCACCAGAAGATTGGGAAAATAAAATGAATGTATTACTTCACATTTAAAAGGAAAAGCTGGCAATCCTAGAAATTAGCGCTGAAAATCTTA